GGGGAGGGTCGCCCGTCCCCCCCCTGCCGCCACCTCTCTCTCTCTCTCTCTCTCTCTCTCTCTCTCTCTCTCTCTCTCTCTCGTGCGCGCGTGCAGCTCCAGCACACTCCTGTGCGCACACACACACACACACACACACACACACACTCGATGAACCAATCAATCAATCAATCAATCAAATCAGATCGATCAATCAATCAATCAATCAATCAATCAATTAATCAATCAATCAAACCTTTTTTTTTTTTTTTTTTTTTCAAAATTTGCATCTTCATTTTTTTTAAACACCTCGTTTCCCTGCAAAAAACAGAATTTCATTTCTAAGAAAAATACCTAAGTACAAGTTTCGGATATCCGGAAGGCCTCTGAATATCCGGTATATCCGGTCGGAAAAAGGGCACCGGATAATACCGAAAAAAGTATTTCCGGGGCCTGCGCAAAATATGCGCAGGGCTCGGATTTTGTTTTAGGGGGCCTGGTGGGGTACAAGGCGGCAACCCGAACACCCTCCCACTGTCGGATTCCGCAGGGGGCCTACCGGTTTCGAAAAAAAAAAGGCCCGATCTGGGTCGTTGATCGAAGACGATCCATGGTCCAGATCGGTCCTTTTTTGAATTCGAATTCGCGCAGCCCCCGTCTCGGACTGCGCCTGGTGTAGTGCCTCAGGCATGCGGGTCCCTCCCCACCAACGGCCCGTCGCCCCACGCCCGCGCTGCTTGCTGGTCGTCACGTCCCCGAGCATGGCCGCCGCCTTCCCTTGCCATCGCCCAACCTCGTTCTCCCCCGCCAGGTAAGACAGGTCGTCCCTCCTCCTCCTCATCCTCCTCCTCCTCCTCCTCTTCTCCTCCCTCCTCTTCGTCGTCTTCTTTCTCCCCCTCTTCCTCCTACCCTTCTCCTCCCGCTTTTTCATCCTCCTCCTCCTCCTCCTCCTCCTCTTCTTCTCCTCCCTCCTCTTCGTCATCTTCTTTCTCCCCCTCTTCCTCCTACCCTTCTCCTCCCTCTTTTTCGTCATCGTCCTATGGTAGAGTAGGCTGGGCGCTGTGCGCCAGACAAAGAGAGCGACTTTGGATATTGTGTTAGTGTGGCCTACTGGCTTGGACATTGGCTCAATACTTCATTGTATTGCTCTTTATGGATGGTTTTCTCGGTGCATTTGTACTTTCTACTTCTCGCCATCCTCCTCCATCCTCCTCCTCCTCGTCCTCGTCCTCGTCCTCGTCCTCGTCCTCCTCCTCGTCCTCCTCCTCCTCCTCCTCCTCCTTCTCGCCATCCTCCTCCTCCTCCTCCTACCCTTCTCCTCCCTCTGTATGGTAGTGTAGGCTGGGCGCTGTGCGCCAGACAGAGAGAGCGACTCTGGATACTGTGTTGGTGTGGCCTATGGGTTTGGACATTGGGTCAATACTTCATTGTATTGCTCTTTATGGATGGTTTTCTCGGTGCACTTGTACTCTGTACTTGGGATACTACTACGTCTTCAGAGCCCAGCCTGCTGCAACGAAAAAAAAAAAAAATCCGATCAAATCAGTGGATTCGATTGGATTGTTTTTTTTCGTTCTATTCGTTTTTTTTTGTTTTTTAATCAATCAATCAATCAATCAATCAATCAATCAATCAATCAAGGAAAAAAAAAAAAACAGATAGAAAAAAAAAAATCCAATCGAATCCACTGATTCGATTGGATTTTTTTTTTCGTTCTGTTCGTTTTTTTTTTTCTTGATTGATTGATTGATTAAAAAAAAAAAAAAAATGTGACCTCCTCCTCCTCCCTCTCCTCCTCGTCCTCGTCTGCCTCTTCTTCTTCTTCGTCGTCGTCGTCCTCCTCCTCCTCCTCCGCCTTCTCGCCATCCTCCTCCTCCTCCTTCTCGCCATCCTCCTCCTCCTCCTTCTCGCCATCCTCCTCCTCCTCCTCCCTCTCGCCATCCTCCTCCTCCTCCTCCTCCTCCTTCTCGCCATCCTCCTCCTCCTCCTCCTCTTCCTCCTACCCTTCTCCTCCCTCTGTATGGTAGTGTGGGCTGGGCGCTGTGCGCCAGACAGAGAGAGCGACTCAGGATACTGTGTTGGTGTGGCCTACGGGCTTGGACATTGGGTCAATACTTCATTGTATTGCTCTTATGGATGGTTTTCTCGGTGCACTTGTACTCTCTACTTGGGATACTACTACGTCTTCAAAGCCCAGCCTGCTGCAACGAAAAAAAAAAAAATCCAATCGAATCAGTGGATTCGATTGGATTTTTTTTTTTCGTTATGTTCGTTTTTTTTTTTTTTTTTTAATCAATCAATCAATCAAGTAATCAATCAATCAATCAATCAATCAATCAAGAAAAAAAAACGAACAGAACGAAAAAGAAATATTTAATCGAATCAGTGGATTCGATAGGATTTTTTTTACGTTCTGTCCGTTTTTTTTTTTCTTGATTGATTGATTGATTGATTGATTGATTAAAAAAAAAAAAAAAACGTGACCTCCTCCTCCTCCCTCGCCTCCTCGTCCTCGTCTGCCTCTTCTTCGTCGTCGTCCTCCTCCTCCTCCTCCTCCTCCTCACCATCTTCCTCCTTCTCGCCATCCTCCTCCTCCTCCTCCTCCTCCTCCTCCTCCTCATTTTCCTCCTACCCTTCTCCTCCCTCTGTATGGTAGTGTAGGTTGGGCGCTGTGCGCCAGACAGAGAGAACGACTCTAGATACTGTGTTGGTGTGGCCTACGGGCTTGAACATTGGGTCAATACTTCATTGTATTGCTCTTTATGGATGATTTTCTCGGTGCACTTGTACTCTTTACTTGGGATACTATTATGTCTTCAGAGCCCAGCTTGCTGCAACGAACAAAAAAAAAATCCAATCGAATCAGTGGATTCGATTGGATCTTGATATTCGATATCAAGATCCAATCGAATCCACTGATTCGATTGGATTTATTTTTTTTCGTTCT